CAGCAGATTGTTGGATTCTGCTTTTTGATTCAGTCAATCTGTGTCTTTCAGTTGGAGAGTTGAATCCATTAACTTTAAGAGATATTACTGAGACATGTTGATTATTTACTATCATTGCTTTCTTTTTCTGTTGGTGACTCCTTTATTTTTCTTTTCCTGACAATTTTTTGTTGTTGTTTACCATTGACCTTACTTGGAGTTTTGGTTTCCTCTGGGTTTTTAGCTGTTGTTTTCATTGTTTCTGTCAAGAATCTTCTTTTTTTTGTATTTAAATTCTTTTTTTGGCACATTTTAGGTATACAACACATTTACATTTCCCATTGGGAACTTGTACCTTTACATGATGCATCTTGGTTCTTATTTTTTCCCCATTCCTAGCCCTCCCTTCACCTATTCCCTATTTACAAAGACTTTGTTTCCATTTTTTCCATTTTTCATCATTTTTCCTTTCCCTTCTTTCCTTTCCCCTGCCCCTCCCATTTCCCATACCCCTTGGACCTTTCCTTCCTATTTCACATTATCAATTATTCATTCTAATCATTGGTACATTTTAGGTGTACAATATAATGACATTCATCATTGGAAATTTGCACCTTTACATCATCTCTCTTGGTTCTTATTTTTTCCCCTTCCCCTGCCCTCCCTTCAACCCCTCCATTCCTCCCTATTTACAAAGATTTTGTTTCCATTTTTCCATTTTCTCATATTAATCCCATTCCCTTCTTTCCTTTCCCCTAGCACTCCCACTTCCTTCCCCTTTGCCCCTTTTCTTCCTATTTCACATTATCTGTTATAGCTTTTAGTCTTTATTTACACTTTCAGTTTCTCACACTAGAGAAAGTGTTTGGTATTTATACATGTGTGTCCTATTTATTTCACTTAAGAGTATCACCTGAATGTGCATCCATTTAGCTATAAATGTCTCTAATTTCTCATTTTTTTGTATTAAATTCTTTTATTGGTACATTGTAGGTATACAGCACAATTACATTTCTCATTGGGAATTGTACCTTTATATAATGCATCTTGGTTCTTATTTTTTCCCCATTCCTAGCCCTCCCTTCACGCCCTCCACCCTTCCCTATTTACAAAGACTTTATTTCCATTTTTTCCATTTCTCATCATTTTTTCCTTTTCCTTCTTTGCTTTCCCCTGTGCCTCCCACTACCCCTACCCCTTTGGACCTTTTCTTCCTATTTTACATTATCGATTATTCATTCTAATAATTGGTACATTTTAGGTATACAATATAATGGTTGAGTAGTACTCCATTTTATTAAAAATCCCATTTTCTTTATCCAGTCTCCAGTTGATGGGCATTTGGGCTGTTTCCAAGTTTTAGCTATTACAAATTGTGCTGCTATGAACATGGGTGCACATATATCACTGTGGTATGATTCTTTTAAATCTTTGGGGAAGATACCCAGCAGGGGAATAGCAGAGTCAAATGGGACTTCCAGTCTTCGTTCTTTGGGGTGTCTCCATACTGATTTCCACAGTGGTTGCACCAGTCTACACTCCCACCAGCAGTGGAGCAGGGTTCCTCTTTCCCCACAGCCCCGCCAGCATTTGTTATTGGTTGATTTCTTGATAGCAGCCATTCTTTCTGGAGTGAGGTGGATTCTCAGTGTTTTTTTTTATTTGCATCTCTGGAATGACCAGTGATGTTGAACATTTTTTCATATGTTTATTTGCCATGTCTACTTCTTTGTCTGAGAAATGTCTGTTCATTTCAGATGCCCATTTTTCGATTGGATCTTTAAATTTAAGAGGTCTGATCTTTTTAAGTTCTTTATTGATTTGAGATAGTAGACCTTTTGTCTGAGGAACAGTAGGTGAAGATTTTTTCCCACATTGTGGGCTGTCTCTTCACTCTGCTGGTGGTTTCTCTTGCTGTGCAGAAGCTTTTTAATAAGAAGAGATCCCACTTGTTGATTGTTTGTGCTAGTTCTAGGGTAACTGAGATATTGTTCATAAAATCTTTTCCTACACCAGTGTCTTCAAGAGTTCTACCTAACCTCTGATCCAGCTGGTTCAGCATTTCTATTTTAGTATTTAGATCTTTAATCCATTTCTATTTTAGTTTAGTGCATGGCGAGAGATATAGGTCTAGTTTTAATCTTTGGTACGTTGAAACTCAATTTTTCCAGCAATCTTCTTAAGTATTTTCTGCAGTGATTGTTAGCACTTATGTATCTTTTGAGTTGGTCTTATTCATAGAAATACCTTGTTTCTCAATCTGTTTTGAAGGATAACTTTGCTGAATAAATTAATCTTGGTTGGAAATAATTTGCTCTTAGGGCTTCAAATACTTCACTCCAAGCTCTTCTGGCCTTTAAGGTTTGTGTTGAGAAGTTTCCTTTAATTGTAATTGGTTTACCTTTATATGTGATTTTTTTTGGTTTTTTCTCCATTTTTAAAATTCTGGTTTTTTTCCTGGATATCTGGTATTTTAGTAAGGATATGTCTTGGTGAGCTTCTTTTTTCATCATATTTGTTTGGTGTTTTATAAGTGTCACTTACTTGTATTTTAAACTCCTTTCTCATATTTGGGAAATTTTCTTCTATGATTTCTGTAAACTTATTGGCAAATCCATCTATGTTATCTTCTAGCTTTTTCCTAACTCTAGTTAGCCTTAGATTGGTCTTCTGACTGTCATCTAGTAGCTGGTGGTTAATCTTCTCTTTTTTCTGATTTTCTTTCTGGCTTCTTTGAGTACTTCAGCATAATTCACTATTTTGTCCTCAATTTTGGGTGCTCTGTCTTCACATTGGTCATTTCTGCAATTTGTGAATTCTGTAAGTTTTTTATTTCAGCTATTTATGTCTGACATTATTTTGAGGATTCTCTATGCTTGTTGAGTCTATCAAGTTTTGAAATGTTTTGCTTAGCTCATCGAGGCTTTACTGACCTCCCCTGAATTCACCATGGGCATATTGAGTGATACTACTGTGAACTTTTGGTTCATTTCCTTTTTGAAGTCGTCTAGTCTCTTCATCCCTTTTATACATTTTTCACAGAGTTCTGCTACCTGGTATTTACTTTCCTTTCCCTTTGTTACCCTGTGCTCTGCCTTAGGAGAATTGGGAGACCTAGGGATCTTCTGTTGCCTTGCTTCCCCATGTTCCTATGTGTATATATGTTATATTATGATAACTATATCTATATCCTTATCTCCATCTATTCATCCCTCTTTTTCTCCTTTTTTGCGGGGGTACTACAGGATGAGGTCTAGTATAGTGAGGGAAGCTTGTGGTTTATATGAAGAATTTTAGTAAGATTTTGCTTCCTCGTGAAGTCTTTTCAGCTTTGTATGTCCAGTGATACTATTTACCCCTTCTACTATTTACTACTTACTGTTTACAGTGATTTGGTCTCTATCCCTATATTTTGCAGAGATAATTACTTTTCGTTATAATAGGACAAAGTTTTCAGAAATGTCCTTTAGGCTTACTTAACTATTAGCCTTTGGGTCTCTCCCAGGATCTCACCACCTTCATTTGCTAGGGAGCAAAAGGTTGCCAAAGGTTGCAGCCTGTTTGGCCTAGTACCCAGTTCTTTTGTAATGGACTGTAGTACTACTTATGACCCCCAGACCATGTGGATATTGGCAAACATGAAACACCAATGGATTGCAATAACTATGTCCCCTTGGCTAAAGTGTTACAATCAACAGTAACAAGAGTATCAAGCACCAACTCGATAATGACAAACTCTAATAGCCTGCACTGTACCACCTTTAACCATAAGAACAAGATCTATTGTTATAGAACAAACTCTTAAGACAGCCCAGGTATTTATATACAGTAAATATCTTCTCAACAGAGCAATTTTACCTCCTTTCAAAATAGAACAGTATTCAACCTTAGTAAGTTATACTTAACTACCTACAAATTTTTAAGGATAAATGGTGTGGATATTGAAGCATGAAGAGAAAAGAAAAAAGAAATAGGGTATGAAAAATTAAACAATGGAACATGGGAGGAAGGTGGTAAGATTGATGTGAAAGGTCCTATTAAGGAGTAAAGGAAAATTAGTAGTGTTAGATAACAGTAACAGAAAAAAACAGACTAGGTCAGGATAAACAATAGGAAATGAAGATTAAACTAGAGAAAGAGAAAATAAGTGCTCAGAAAACAGGTTGAAAGAGAGGAAGAAAAGAAGAGAGATGGAAAAAAGGGAGGACTTATTCAAATAAATAAAGTTATATTTAAAAAGGGGGGAACAAGAAAATGAGTGATAGAACTCCAAGCTTCACCAATAAAATAATAAATAATAATAATAATAATTATTATTATAACCAAAAAATACCAATACAGGAGAAAAAAAGAAAATTGGGTTCAATGCAGAGAGAAGAGAAAAAAAAAATTAACATATTTCCAGAAGAGTGTTTTCTTCTGGAACTTGCAGTCTTTAATCTTACAAGTCACAGTCCTCTGCCCTCCTTTGTGGTCTGGGTTTGTGTGGAGATTTGTCACTTCAGTGAGTCCCCTGTCTGTAAACCTTTGTAGCAGCTGTTCACGCAGGACCATCAGCCCAGGAAAGTGTGGAGCATTGGATTCTGAGGCTCTTGGTGTGGATTCCTGCTGGGTGGAGGCCAACACTGGGTACATGATGTATATTCTGGTGTCCATGGGACCAGCTCTAGACACCAGGTGGAGGCTTGTGTTGCCTTTTGGACACCCAGTGGAGATGTGGGGAGATTTTAGCACGCCCGGTGAGGGTGCAGGGGACTAGGTGGTGTCTGATGGGTGTCTAGAGCACCAGGTGAAATAGGTACAAACCTAACCCTTGCTGCTAACTAGGCAGAAGACTGGCCCACTGTGCAAGGCAGGGACTGTTCCCAGGATTCTAGCAAAATGCAGGGTGGAGACTCTGATGTACTTAGAGTGGGGACAGTGCAACTGGTTCTAAGGACTTTCGTACGAGAACAACTTATTGGATAATTTGTGATTCTCTTCACTTTCCTGCCTCCTTCTCTCTTCTTTTTTTTTTGTAGGCTTTTCAAACTCAACCTGTCCAGTCTAAGAAGGAAATCAACAAGGAGTTTGGAAAAGACGTTCCCAAGACGATTAGCAAAAGCAAACATGCTCTTGAGTTGGCCAGATATACTGAAATGAACAAAAAAAGGTAAGAGGGGACTTAGATTGTATTGTGTTAGATGGGAACAGAGAGTATATGACATCCTTTTTGTCCCCATTAAGAACATGCTTAGTGAGCCACACGCCAACTTAGTGTGGAGAGGTGACTGCTTAGCTTAGTGACTACCATGCTAACTTTGGGTGCAGAGGTGAGCCTAGGTACGGTTGCTAAAAAGTTACAGGCCTCTTCTCTCTCTTCTTCCATGGTGGTGGTGATGGTGTGTGTGTATATGCACACTCATGCACACGAACACGTTAAAAGGTCTGTTGTCATTGAGGAATTTACCAAAAGATCATATTTTCATCTTTTCTGTTTTAGTAATTTAGTCTCTGAACTAGTCTGTGTGTGGGAGTGTGGATGCAACTTAACTCTTCAGGGACTCTCATCAGCTGGCTGATAGTTTACCAGTTTGCTTATTCCATTAGAAGCTTTGGGAGATGCACATTTCCATCTAGAAATGGAAAAATAATTTAACCCTAGAAAACTTTTACTGGAAGAAGACTTAAATTAGTCCTTTCTATATTCTCTCCTTGTTCTAGTGGGAATTATTTCTTCAGGGACTGACCAACCTGCACTTGAATAGATAAAATAGATGACTATAACAAGGCCAAACTTGGGTTCCATTATGTAAAGTAAAAAGGTTGGGAAGCCTAGAAAATTAACTTGCAAGGTCGATGGGACACTCTGCTAATTACCTAGCAGAAAGTAATCAAGCCAGAAGATCAGCATTTATCTCTACTTGGTTTCTTGCTGAAATGGAATTCCTGGGCTTTACATACATATTTGGTCCCTTGCATTATTTTCTTTTAAATTTCTTTCATTGTTCTGACTTTATCAAGGAAGCCCTCACTAATGCCATGAACATTCTTCCCTTGTTTAGGGTTCAGTGGAATGGACCCTAATAATAGTACTAGAACTAGTAATATGTATCATTTATTGAGTGTTCATTATAATCACACAAATAATCTTGTAAGTTTTATATTAACAGCTTTATTGAGGTATAACTCACATACCATATAATTCACATATTTAAAGTATACAATTCAGTGACTTTTAGTATATTCACTGTTATGCAGCCATCCCAATTTTATATCATTTTCACCAACCCCAGACCTACCCTTTAGCTATCACCTCTCAATCTCCCCATCCTTCTCAGCTCTAGGGAACTGCAAATTTACTTTCTGTCTCTATAGATTTCCTTATTTTGGATGTTTCATATAAATGCAATCACATAATGTGTGGGTTTTTGTGTCATCGTTCACTTATGTTTTCAGGTTTCATACACATTGTAACAGGTATGTATTCATTTTTTAAGATTGTCAATATTCCATTGTATGGATGTATCATATATTTATCCATTCATCAGATGATAGAGAATTAAGTTGCTTCTACCTTTTGGCTATTGTCAGTAGTGCTGTTATGAACATTTGTGTATAAGTTTTTGTTTGAACATCTATTTTTAATTTTTTTTCCATTTATACCATAGAGTGTGGTTACTGGGTCATAATGGTAATTCTATGTTGAACACATTGAGGAGCTGCCATGCTGTATTCCACAGTGACTGCACTATATCTTCCTTGGAGAAATACATATCTATTCAGATCCTTTGCTATTTAAAAAAATTTAGTTATTAGTGTTTGTATTATTAAGTTCTAAGAGTTCTTCACATATTCTAGATAAAAGTCACTGATGAGATATGAACTGCAAGTATTTTCTTTCCTTCTGTGCGTTGTATTTTTACTTTGTTCATGATGTGCTTTGAACCACAGGTTTTTAATTTTGATAAAGTCTAATTTTTTGTTGCTTTTAGGCTTGTGATGTCATATTTAAGAAACTATTGCCAAATTCTAGATCACAGAATTACAGCTGTTTTCTTCTAAGAATTTTAAAGTGTCAGCTCTTAATTTAGGTTTTTGAGGGCTGGGGATTTAGCTCAGTGGTTCCGCTGCCTGCCTCACAATTGCAAGGACCTGAGTTCAATCCCCAGTACCCCCCCCCCCAAATTTAGGTTTTTGAATCTAATTTGAGTTAATTTTTCTTGTTGGTTGTTAGGAGGTCTAATTTCATTGTTTTGCATATGGGTATCCAGTTTCCCTACCACTTTTGTTGAGAATACTAATCTTTTTCCCTTTAATTATCTTGGCATCCTTATCAAAAATTAATTCACTGTAAATGTAAGTATTTATATCTGGATTCTCAATTTTATTCCGTTGATCTATCTATATGTTTATTATTACCTATCTTATGCCAGTACCACATTGTCATGATGATAGCTTTGTAATATATTTTGAAATTGGGAAATGTGGCCCTCCAAATCTTGTTTTCTTTTTTAAAGATTATTTTGCTTTTCTGGGTTTCTTGCAATTCCATATGAATTACAGAATCAGCTTGTCAAGTTCTATAAATAAGTCAGCTTGGATTCTTGTAGAAATTGCTTTGAATCTATAAATCAACTTGGAAAATATTACCATCTTAACAATACCAAGTCTTCCAATTCATGAACATGCAGTGTCTTTGTATTTATTTAGATCATTAATTTATTTCATTTTACAAACTTTTCAGGGTATAAGTTTTACACTTTTCGTTAAATTTGTTTCTAAACACTTTATTCTTGACATTATTATAAATGAACTTGTTTTCTTAATCTCTTTTTTAAACTGTTAATTACAAGACATAGAAACACATTTGATTATTGTGTATTGATCTTGTATCCTTAGGTCTTGTGAATTTATTAGTTCTGGTAGTTTTTGTGTGGATTCCTTAGTATTTTCTCTATATAAGAGCATGTCATCTGTGAATGTAGACACTTTTATCTTATTTATTTCCAATAGGGATGCCTTTCATTTAATATTCTTGCCTAATTGCCCGAGGTAGAACTTTCCTTGATCTTAGAGGGAAGGCATAATCCTGTCATTATTATGATGTTACCTTGGGTTTTTCATAGATGTCCTTTATCACGCTGAGGAATCTTCTTTCTATTCCTAGTTTGTTGAGTGCTTTATATCATGAAAAAATGTTGGATGTTGTCAAATGATTTTTCTGGATCTATTGATAATAATTATGTGGCTATTGTTTTGTATTCCATCAGTATAAGTATGGTACATGACTTGAGTTTAGGGTGTTAAATTAACCTTGCATAACTGGAATAAATCCCACTTGGTTATGCTGTATACACCTTTTATATGTTGCTGGATTTGATTTGCTAGTATTTTTTTTTTGTTGAGCTTTTGCATTAATATTTATAAGAAGTACTAGTCTGTAGTTTTCTTATGATTTCTTTGTTGTTTTTGGTATCAGAGTAATACTGCCCTTAAAGAGTTAAGTTGGAAACTGTTCCCAACTTTTCTGTTTACTGGGAGAGTTAATGAAGAATTGGTATTAATTCTTTAAATATTTGGTAGAATTCACCAATAAAGCCATTTGAGCCTGAATTTTTGTTTGTTGTCAGTTTGTTGGTTATAATTCAATGTCTTTGTTATAACTCTATTCAGATTTTTAATTTTCTCCTTGAATGAGTTTTGGTAGTTTGTTTCTTCCTAGGAATTTGTCCATTTCATCAAAATCATCTAATTTATTGGCACATAATTAGCAGCGTTCCTTTATTTTAAGCATACGAATTTGTCAGGTCTTTACAACAAGCCTATGAAGAAGATATTATGATCCCCATTTTATAGATAGAAAAATAGAAGCAGAGAGTTAACTTGCCCAAGGTCAACTAGGTGGTAAGTGGAAGAGCCAGGATTTGAATCCAGGCAGTCTAATGCCAGACAGAACGCATGTTCTTATGATAACTACTCTATCTGAAGACCATCTCATCAGGAAGGACTTGGAACCTGTGTTGTCAGGCAGAACTTTTGAAACACTTGCTTTTTACTTTAATTAATTAATTTTTACACTTCGTTTTTTTGTTATATTCCTAGAGTTGTGTAGCCATCACCACTATCTAATTTTAGAATTTTTCAACACCCTCAAAAGAAACCCCTATCTGCAATATTAGGAATCCCTTTCCTTTCTCAGTTGACCTTTCTTCCCCTTACCCTATCCCAGCCTCAGGTAACCACAAATCAACTTTGGTTATTGATGTATCTCCAGGAATATGTCTATCCTGGATGTTTTACATAAATTGGATCGTAGATACCTGGTCTTTGGAGGTACTTACTCCTTGTGTTCAGATTGATGATTTTATTTGCCTTCTATTTTCTTTTATTCTGATTGTTAGTCTTCCAGTGATTTGGTCACATTAGGTTAGTCACTCTGGTCATAAAAACCTATTTAAAACAAAACTTTGTATCTGATAAGCAACAAATTTCTATTTTAATCTTTTTATTATTTTCATTGTGAAATTGTCTGCTAAGTAACCCAAAGTGTTAATTACCAACCAGCCTCTCTCATTAGCCTTCAAACAATATTAATTTCAATCTGAATTTTACCAGATGCCTAGTGCTCAGCAAGACAAATGCAAGTAGTGAGGGAAACTGATACATAAATTGTTAACATATACATTGTGATAAGTATTATAATAAAAGTCTTCATATATAAATAAAGGTAATTAATCATATGTAGACAATATAACATAGATTTCAGGAGAAAATTGTAGAAAAGTATAGAGACCTAGGCATAGAAACTGAACAGTGTGCTACTTACTTAATTTACCATGGATCTTATTGTTTTTGTACCCTCTATCCTGTCTCTTGGGTTGAACCACTTTTCCCTTCCATACCTTTAGTAAATGTAGTCACAAAATCAGATGGTAGATGAGGACTCTAGGAAATACATTTTTCTTACCCAGACCTTTGTTTCCTTACAGATATAAGTTGGAGCTCACATCAGCAGTAGCCTCTACTGCCTCAGTGCCAAAAATTTTGGAGAAATCGCTCCTTCTGGATGTAACCACCAACTCCCAAACACCTACTATTGAGGAGGTATCTTTTGTCACAAAACCATTAATTTTAAAAGAGGAACCCAGTACTGAAGTGACAACCCTTATAAAGAAGTCATTAAAGAAGTGCACAAATCCTGGAGAAGCATTCCTATTGGAGAAGTCACTATCCTTACAGGAGGAGACTGACAGTGATGATGACTTTGTTATAAAGCCAGTGACTTTTGGGAAGAAGCATAAATCCAATGAGGCAGCCATCACTAAGAAGACATTATCCTTAAAGAAGATGTCTACATATCAGAGGAAGCAGTCTTGCTTGGAAGAGTTGGTGATCTTGCAGGACAGCAATGTTGAAGAGGGTTCCTTCTCTGTGGAGCTGATGAATTTAAAGAAGAAGCCTAAAACTGAGAAGTTATCCTCCCCTAAGAAGCCATTATCTTTAAGTAGTAAGTGTACCACTATGGAGAAGATCTCCAACACAATAAAGCCAGTACTATTGGAGAAGATCACTTCTGAAAAGAAGTTAATTACTAAGGAGCCATCAGCCTTTATGAGAAATCCTACTGCTGACAAGGAGTCCCTTTCCTGTAAGCCATCTGCATTCAAAGAGAAACACACTACTAAGCAAGAGATCTCCAACTGGAAGAAATCATTGACCTTACAGGAGAAGACTGACTTTAAAGACAAATCCCTTGTTAAGGAATTATCGACTTTTAAGCAGAAGCCTACCACTGAGGAGGCAACCCTCACCGCAAGCCCAGTTTTTGGAAGGACAGAATGCACAGTTCAAAGGAAGATATGCACTACTCATGAGAAGAAGTACACTATTTATGGGATGCAGTCCCACTTGAAGAATCCATTAGAAGTACAGGAGGTTATCTCTGGGGAGGAGTCACTCAGTACAAAGCCATTGTCCTTTAAAAGAAATCGTATCACTGAATTCTACCAAGAGCCATCTGCATTACAGGAGAAGCATACTACTCAAGCAGAGATAGGCCTCTTGAAGAAGCCGAGGACATTGCAGGAGAATATCAACAGTGAAGCTAGCTGTGTTAAGGAGGTAGTTTCCTGTAAGAAACAGCATAGTACTATGGAGGCAAGCCATACAAAGAAGCCATTACCTTTAAAAAAGAAGCAGAAAATTCAGAGGAAGCTCTCCCGCTATAAGCCATTAAAAGTTGAGAGAGTCACCTATGGAGAGAATTCACTCACTAAGGATCCATTTTCCTTTGAGAAATTTACCAGTGATGAGGATTCCCTTTCCCAGGAGCCATTTGTATCCCAAGAGAAGGATAGCACACAGGAAGAGGTGTCCACTTTGAAGAAGCGTGTGGCCCTGCAAAAATCTCCCACTGAGACAGAGTCACTTTTTCAGGAGTCTTTGGCTTTTCAAAAGCAATGTAATACTGAGAAGGCAACCCCTAGCAAGAAACCTTTACCTTTAAAGAAGCAGCAGCACACCACTCAAGGGACAGTGTCTCATTTGAAAAAGCCATTAGTATTGCAGACAGTCACCTCTGAAGAGAAGTCACCCATTAAGGAGCCACTGTCCTTTAAAGAAGTAAATATGTCCTTAAAGAAGAAAAAGTGCACCACTGAAGCAACACCCCAATGGATAGATCTTTCAGACTGGCAGGATATAATTGTTAAAGAGAAGAATTCTTTCTTTATGAAGCAAGTATCATCTACAAAAAAGGGTACAACTGAGAAGGTAGTCCTCACCAAAACGCCATCATATTTGAAGAAGAAGCAAACCACTCAGAGGAAGACTACTTCTGAAGAAGAGTCACTCTGTAAGAAGCTGTTGCCTTTTAAGAAGAAGCCTACAACTGAAGAGAAGTTCCTCGCCCAGGAGCGATCTGCATCAAAAGAGAAACATACTACTTTTCAGGAGGTGTCACTCTCAAGAAAGCAAATAGCCTTTCAGGAGAAGACCACTACTGAAGAAGAATCTTATAGTAAGGAAGCAGTGACTTTGAAGGAGAAGCTTATCACTGAGGAGTTCCTCTTTCAGGAGCCATTTTCTTTGCATGTTAAGCCTACCAACAAAGATGAATCCCTTTTCCAGAAGGCTGTGATCTTGCAAGAGAAGACTAATACCAAAAAGGAGTCTTTGGCTTTGCATGAGAAGAGCACCATGACAGAAGAATCCCTTTTCAATAGGCTCTCAGTTTTGAAGAAAGAGCCCTCTGCTAAGGGAGCAGCAAGCATAGATAGGCAATTACCTATAAAGAACGAGCTCACTGCTCATGAGCAGGCATTTCTTTTAAAGGAGCAATTGGCTTTGCACGAGAAAATCACCAATGATGAAATGTACCTTATTAAAGAGCCACTGGCCTTGCAGGAGTATGTGGGCAGTGAAAAGGGACTCTTCAAGGAGCCCTTGACCATGCAGGAGAAGCTCAGCACTCAGAAGGAGACTGCTTTTAAGGAGCATACCACTGACATAGAGGCTCACTTCAATGAACTTTTGGCCATGCAAGAGAAGCCCAGCATTGAGATAGGGCCTGTCTTTCAGGAGCCTGTGAACTTGCAGGAAAAGCCTACTATTGAGGAGGAAGGGTTCTTCATAGAGCCTTTGGCTTTACAGGAGAAAGCTGGCCTTGAGTCTGAGGCTATGCTGAAAGAGCCTTTGGCCTTGCAAGAGAAGCCCAGCACTGAGATGGAAACTGCTCTAAAGGAGCCCTTGTCCTTGCAGGAGAAGCCCAGCACTGAGAAGGAGGCTATCCTCAAAGAGCCATTAGCATTTCAGAAGAAGTCCAACATGGAGGATGAAGTCCTCTCCAAGGAGCCATTAGCCTTGCAGGAGAAATCTACTATAAATGTACCATTCTTCTTCCAGAATATGTTAGCCATGAATGAGAAACCCACCATTGAGAATGAGTTGTCTTTTCAAGAGCCGTTAGCTTTAGAAGAGAATTTTGCCAACAAGGAAGATATTTTTCCAGAAACATTCTTGATCCTTGAGAACAGCCCACGTGTGTCTAGCAATGCTGTTGAATCCAGTACAGACAAGTTCAATGCTGCTAATATGTCCAGTGTGGGCAAGTCCGGTGCAAATGAATCTGGTTCCAAAATACCTTTCTCACCTCAAAGCAGAACACAGAAGGAGGTATTCATCTCTTTTTTTTTTCTTAAATTAGATGAAATGCTTTTTGTTTTCCTGGAGGTAGCTGTTAGCAAAGAGAGTTTTTTGGTGCCCAAGGTTGAACCCTAGGCATTACATATGCAAAGCAATCTACCACTGAACTATATCCCTAGGCCCAAAGAGATCTTTTTGTTTTCCTTCCTAGGCAGTTGAGCTGTATATAATAAGTTATGGGAAGTCCCTCTACCTAGAAAGAAGGAGATAGTCCTTGAGTTTACCTCTGGTTTTATTTAATGATAGGTAATGCAGAATAATCTCTTCTGATTTTTATAGCCCGTGGTTATCTGCAATATGGGATAAATTTAGTAGGCTCTTTGGCATTTTCTCTTATATCAAGCTGGCCTTATAGAATATCTTGACTTCCTGATTGGCACAGTGATATACCTAACCTATCAGAAAGTATTTATATCCACAAGGGTCTGGAATATTGAGTTGCATACTTGGGCTTTGCAATAATGGTTAGATAATTTCATTCAGGGCATTATCTTTCTTAGTAATTTCACTCAGCATCACATGAACTTCAGTCAAAGATGGGCAAAGTTCACATGGGCATTTCCCAAGAAAAGTGGCCTTTAAGTTGTAAATTAGAAGAATAAAGGAATGGAATTTAGCAAGCAGGCAGAGAAATATCCCTCTTTTAGGCAAAACAACCAGAATAAAGGTGTAGAAGGGAGGAAAAGGCTACTAAGATGAATTGGGCCAGATCAAAGCATTGGGAATTTAAAAAGGCAGGTGACCTAATTGAAATAATAAAACAAGAATTTCTTTCTTAGAGAGTTGAGCTTACCCATAAAAGGATGCCTTGTTTCTAGGACAGAGCAAGCATATATTAGGTATTTCTGAATCATTGTATAGTATAGGGAATTCCAGGGCCAGGGGTGCTCTGGATAGCTCAGGATAGATACGTGAGCCTTGAGGAACCTTAGTATAAGGAAACAGTGGGGAGAATAGCATCATTCTTAATGTGTATGAGCTTTCCTTGGACTCTTTTCTAATATGTTTTTTGATGGTTTCCAAGCAGATAAACACACTTGAAGCTATTGGCAAGGACCACCATGATCCATCTTTCAGCTCAGTATATGCCAAGGAGATCTTCAGTTACTTGAAAGACAGAGAGGTGTGTAGATAGCTGGAGATGGGCAATAATTTATAGTTCTCATTTCCTCATTATTCCATTCTTTAACATGCAAGTTGGAGGGCAAGATAATAATGATAGTGAAAGAAACAATAATAGCAACAACTAACATCTATTGGTATCTTTCTGTCAGTTGGACATTGTATTAAGGGATTTATAGACATTATCTTGTTTAATTCTTCCAATAATTTCAAGATGGCAGACATTATCATCTCCCTTTTACATACAGGGAAAACTGCCTAGAGTCATACAACTAATGTATGGTACAGCTGGCATAGGGACTAAAATCTGATTTTCTTGAAGATAGGTACAAAGGAGACAATCTCAGATACAGAGATTGTCAAGTAGTTTGTTTCTGAGTGGCTGTTCTTTGAGATTTCCTTTTCTATGCATGTTTCTTGCACTTTATGTAAAATCACACCTTTCATTTCAGCTCTCTAACCTTGTGCAGTTTTCTTTTTCCTTTCAAATCTTCCAGTTTCCTTTACCACCAGAGTTCATAAGATCCAAATTTTCTTCTGTCTCTTTCAATGGAGTAGACAATACCAAGATTATCTACTAAGTAGAATTTTTATCAGGCTTTGGTATGGTTTCTATTGAATATATATTGCTTTCATACCATCATAAAGTTGAGAAACTACTAAGTTGACCATTGTAAGTTTGAAACTATCTGTACCTTAGAGAAGGTGAGAAAACTTTGTTTTCCTAAAAATGTAATTCTTAGCTTAGCAGTATTGGTTTCACTTGGGATATTGTAAGAAATGCAGAAACATAACCCCACTGTAGATCTTCTAAATCAGAATCTGATGTTTTTCAAGATCTCCAGGGGTCTTGAAAGCCTGCCTTAAATTAAGCCAGCCTACATTAAAGCCTGAAAAGAACTGCTTTTCATAGCAGGGTAGTACTTTTTAGGTTGAATTGCAAAGAAGAGGCAAAAGCTTTTTGGCATTCATCTGTAGCCATAGATGTGCTCTTAACCTTAATGCCCTGGATTCCTTAATGTCAATTCTGACACTTGAATATTATGTGTGTCCACTTTCCCAAGGATAACTGGAACTTGTCTGGAAAAAGATACTTTGATCAGCCCCTATCTTATACTAGCTGAAAATAATGAATTAGAACTGTGGGGGAGAAGTTAATTGTTGTTACAATTTTGAACTACACAAAGAATTTATTAATCTTTCCTTCTCATTGATGCCAGGAAAAGTTCATTCTTAAAAAATACATGAAAAGACAGACTGAGATCACCAGTGACATGAGGGCCATTCTTGTGGACTGGTTGGTGGAAGTACAGGTAAGACTGATAGCTGTTTCCTTAAGGAGATGCAACTCTTTTTCTTGGATAGTTATTCAACACCACCAGAAAAAGTTTATCACTGGATTTACGGAGCTGAAAAAGCCATAGTTCCTTCTCTCAAAGAGTTATGATTTAGGGGGAAAACTATGATATGCAGATAAGTAAATATAATAAATAGAATGTACTAAGTACCCTAAGAATGTTATGAATAAAATACTGTGAGAACCCAGTTGAAGGAGAGACCTTTTCCAAAAAAGGCAGCAATAGTCTGATAGTTCTATTTTTAAAATCTTATAAATCAGTCCAATCTAAGGATTTGGAATGGGATCAATGACAAAGTCTTTCAAGCTTGGGTGGAATGGGTAATAGGAAAGGCAGTGCAATAGACATGACAGGTAGCTGTTTGTCCAGGGATAGAAACCAAGGGAATAAGCTATGAATACTTAAATATTATTTTGTAGTAGGGAAAGAGAGCCCAGAATAGTACCTGGCACATAGTAAGAAATCAATAAATCTTTTTTAAAATTCAATTATATTGGTATATTTTAGGTATACAATATAATGACATTCATCATTGGAAATTTGCACCTTTATATAATCTCTCTTGGTTCTTAAATTTTTCCCCCATCCCCTGCCCTCCCTATAACTCCTCTATCCCTCCCTATTTACAAAAACTTTGTTTCCATTTTTTCATTTTCTCATATTAATTCAATTCCCTTCTTTCCTTTCCCCTACCCATCCCATTTCCCCTTCCCCTTTGCCCCTTTTCTTTCTATTTCACATTATCTATTATACCTTTCAGTCCTTATTTACACTTTTAGTTTCTCACACTAGAGAAACTATTAGTATTTACACATGTGTGTCCTATTTATTTCACTTAAGAGTATCGCATCAATGTGCATTCATTTAGCTATATCTCTAATTTCTCATTTTTTATGACTGAGTAGTACTCCATTTTATAAAAAAGCCACATTTTCTGTATCCAGTCTCTTGCTTCCAAGCATCTGGGCATCTGGGCTGCTTCCAAGTTTTAGCTGTTACAAACTGTGCTGCTATGAACATGGGTGCACATATATCACTGTGGTATGATTCTTTTAATTCTTTGGGGAAGATA